ACGAGGAGCCGCGTGAGGGATCTTCTGAAGGTCTCTCATGGCCGAGCGCAGGGTACAGCACGATGCAGTCTGCAGCACCGTGTCGCACGGCGCGAAGAAGTGGTCTGGGTTCGTGCGGTGGTGAACCTCCTGGCCGAAGTAGGTCGGCCCCGTCGGGAAGAATGTGTCGATCGCTGCGAGGCCTTCCATGCGCATGATGCGCCAGAGCTCGGACGTCGTGTAGCTCTCGTACGCCAGCTGATGTCTGTCTGTGTGCAGATCGTCTGCCGTGAAGGAAGGCATCCCCTGGAGGGCCGCCGTCTTGCCAAAGCCCGAGTTCGTGTCGGCCCCAATGAGCACCAGCGCCCTCCTCGGGGCGGCCTGGACCGCGCGGTGGATCCACTGCGAGAGCTTGGCCACGGTCGCCTTCCAGGAGTCGACCTGGTGGCGCTGGGGTGGCGGGTAGTACGCAGTGATCGCCAGGATATCGAAACACGAGCTGCGAAGACGAACTGCTCCTCTTCGGCCTCTGAGGTCCCCTGGAGGCTCAATTATTTCTTGCATGTGACACCTTCTGAACGCTCGAGACCTGAGCAGAATGCTGCAGACCGCACTCTTTATTGGTCATCGATCCTCTCTGCCAGCCAAACGACAGGTGAATGTGTTTTGCTGTCCTCGACACTGTCACAGGGTCACCCGCACGTCGACGGGCTTGCGTCCCAGGGCACAGCACAATATCGGCGAACGATAGCCGAGCAGAGACATCATGGACGCGCCAAGCGTCCGAAAGAGAGAGTGGGTTGTATAGTATCGTCTGAAGAAGGGAAGCCCACATGGGCGGGTGGGAGCGGTCTGCAGGCGGAGGTGGTAACCTGCGGGGGAACAGGAACAGAGGGCCGCTCTCCCCCTGGGCCTGGGCCAGGGCCTAGGAGGAGGAGGAGGAGGAAGATGAGGAGGAGGAAGGAGGACGCAGGGCACTCTCCAAAACGAGGACCCATCCCCATAGGATGACTGGGAAACTAGCTGCATATACTTGCAAAAGAAGAATACGTGTATACATGTGTACATGCATGTAAAGATGTAAATAAATACATATGTATAGCTGTGCATGTATACATGCTTGTATGCATGCTTGCATGTCTGTATGTGTATATATACGTACGTACTTATGTACGTACGCTCGTACGTACATGTGTATGTATGTGTGTATGTATGTATGTATGTTTGCTTGTATGCATGAATGAATGAATCAATGAATGAGTGTATGCATGGATGTATGAATGGATGGATGGAGGCATGGATGGATGAATGGATGCATGCATGTATGTACGCGTGTTGTGCATGCATGTATGTATGGTTGTATGTATATGGATGTGTGTGTGGATGTGTGCAGAGATACATGCATGCATGTGTGTATGAATGTATGCATGAATGCATGCATGCACGTAAGTATGTATGTATATATGTATGTGTGTATGTATGTGCGAATGTATGTGTGCATGCATGCATGTATGTGTGTATGCATGTATGTGTATGCATGTATGTATGCATGTATGTATGTATGTATGTATGTATGTGTGTATGTGTGTATGTATGTATGTATGTATGTATGTATGTATGCATGTATGCATGCAGGCATGCATGCATGTATGTGTGTATGTATGTCTGGATGTATGTATGTATGTATGTATGTGTGTATGGATGTATGTGTATGCACGCATGCATGCATGCATGTATGCATGCATGCATGCATGAATGTATGTGTGTATGTATGCATACATGCATGCATGCATGTATGTATGTATGTATGTATGTATGTACACTCCGCTCGTTAAAGATAGAATCGATGAAACTAGGTCTCGGCTAAACTAGATCGGAAGATTCGGTCCCCGACTTCTGCAATTCCGAAAACTAGATCGGCCCGCTTGCATTTTCATTTCCCATGCATTAAAATACTCTCCGCTCTCCTTTCTATTCGGGCGTTCCCACATACGCGTGCACCTAATGTGGCGGTCGGCTCGGCTGCGCTGAATTCGATCCGACCAGGCTCCATATACACACGGGTCATTCAAGGGTCGGTCTGCACGGTCAATCCTGCTGGTCACTCCGGGACTGACCCAGGCTGGCCCCAGACTGACCCCGGACAGACCCTGGACAGACCTCAGGCAAACCCCGGATCCGACCCTGGACCAACCCCGGACTGACCCCGGCCCAGACGGACCCCGCACGGAGCCCAAACTGGCCCCGGACTGACCCCGGACTGACCCCGGACTGACCCCAGACTGACCCCGGACTGACCCCGGACTGACCCCGGACTGACCCCGGATTGTGACCCCGGACTGACCCCGGACTGGCCCCGGACTGACCCCGGACTGGCCCCAGACTGGCCCCGAACTGACCCCGGACTGACCCCGGACTGACCCCGGACTGACCCCGGACTGACCCCGGACTGACCCCGGACTGTCCTCGGACTGACCCCGGACTGACCCGGGACTGACCCCGGACTGACCCCAGACTGACCCCGGACTGACCCCGGACTGACCCCGGACTGACCCACTGGCTCCGGACTGGCTCCGGACTGGCTCCGGACTGGCTCCGGACTGGCTCCGGACTGGCCCCGGACTGGCCCCGGACTGGCCCCGGACGGACCGGACCGACCCCGGACGGAACCCGGACGGACCCCGGACGGACCCCGGACGGACCCCGGACGGACCCCGGACCGACCCCGGACCGACCCCGGACAGACCCCGGACTGACCCCGGACTGACCCCGGACTGACCCCGGACTGACCCCGGACTGACCCCGGACTGACCCCGGACTGACCCCGGACTGACCCGGACTGACCCCGGACTGGCCCCGGACTGCCCCGGACTGACTGACGGGACGGACTGACAACGGACGGACTGACCCCCGGACTGACCCCAGACTGACCCCGGACTGACACCGGACTGACCCCAGACTGCCCCCGGACTGCCCCCGGACTGCCCCGGGACTGACCCCGGACGGACTGACAACGGACGGACTGACCCCCGGACTGACCCCAGACTGACCCCGGACTGACACCGGACTGACCCCGGACTGACCTCGGACTGACCCCGGACTGACCCCGGGCCGGACTGACCCCTGTCTGTGACCCCGGACTGTGACCCCGGACTGACCCCGGACTGACCCCGGACTGACCCCAGACTGGCCCCGGACTGACCTAACTGACCCCGGACTGACCCCGGACTGACCCTGGAGTGACCCCGGACTGACCCGGGTCTGACACCAGACATACAGAACATTGTGTTTAGTATTAGAGTCCCGGCTCGGTAAAACTAGACTCGGTAAAAATAGATCTCGGCTAAACTAGGTCGTAATCTGATATCTAGTTTAAACGAGTGGAGAGTATGTATGTGTGTATGGATGTAGGTGTGCATGTATGTGTGCATGCATGCATGCATGCATGCAGGTAGGTAGATAGTTATGTGTATGTGTATATATGTATGTACGGACGGGATGAATGGATGGATGCATGTAAGTATGCATGTGCGTACGCGCGTATGTGTGTACGTATGTGCGTGTGTATGTATGTATGTGTGGATGTATGTATACATGTATGTATGAATGCATGTATGGATGTGGGGCCCGGACCTTATGCAGCTGCGAGTACCGCAGGAAGACGAGGGGAAGGGGCTAGCAAAAGAAGTAAGACGTGAGTGGGAATACGGAGCGGCATTGCTGATATGTTCGCAGAGGTCAGCCGCAACGGGTTACACCTGGATGTAGCCCGTCACGACTGATCTGCGCGTCTGTCGGCGCGGCCCCGGGGAGCAGGCAGCAGGGCGCGGTCTGGGCAGCAGCAGACGGCGGGGCCTTTGGTGGAGCTCTCTGTGGGGCCACCAAACGTGTGAGGGGTGCACCGAAATGGGCGCAGTCGCGATGCGATTCCTGCCGCCCGGCGCCCAAGGTGGAGCTCCCCATGAGGCCACGAAGCTGGTGAGGAGTGCGCCGAAATGGTCTGAAAAAGGCATGTGGCGCGCAACGACTCGGGCCTAGGTGGAGCCCCCTTATGGGTGCACGAAACGTGGGATGGGTGCGCCGAAATGGTCAGGCCGAGGCATGCGGGCGCAACCACTGGGGCCGCAGGTGGAGCACGCTAATGGGAGGGAATGAAACGTATGAGGGGTGCGCCGAAACCGTGTGGAGAAGGCATGCGGGCGCAACCATTGGGGCCTTAGGTGGAGCCCCCATATGGGGCCGCGATACGTGGGGTGGGTGCGCCGAAATGGTCAGGACAAGGCATGCGGGCGCAACCACAGGGGCCTTAGGTGGAGCCCTCTATGGGGCCACGAAACGTGGGATAGGTGCGCCGAAATGGTGGAGAACGCATGCGAGCGCAACCACTGGGGCCTTAGGTGGAGCTCCCTACCGATCCACAAAACGAGGGAGGGGTACTCGGGGATGGTGTGGAGAAGGCATGCGGGCGCAAGCACTCGGCCTTGGTGGAGCCCTATATGAGGCTACAAGAGATATGAGGATACGCCGAAATGGTGTGGAGAAGGCATGCAGGCGCAATCGCTGGGGCCCTCGGTGGAGCTGCCTATGCGGTCGCGAAGCGTGAGTGGTGTGAACGCTGATGATGCTAATGATGATAATGATGATGATGATGATGATGATGAGGAGGAGGAGGAGGATGATGAGGATGATGATACTGATGATGATGTTGATGATGGTGATGCTGATGATGCTGCTGATGATGATGATCATGATACTGATGATGATGATGTTAATGATGATGATGATGACGACGACGACGAGGAGGAGGAGGATGGTGATGATGATGCTGATGATGATGATGATTAAGAGGAGGAGGAGGAGGAGGAGGAGGAGCAGGAGCATGAGCATGAGGCGGAGGAGGAGGGGGAGGAGGAGGGTGACGACGGCGACGACGACGAGGACGCGCGGATGGAAGAAGCGGGAGGAGGGAACGCAGGGAGATGAGTGTTCAAAACGCCCAGATCTCAACGTTTAGTTCCAGCCCGATCCTCCTGCTCCTCACCGAGATTATACCCACGAAGCCGGTCGGGCTCTGCTGCTGCACTGGCGGGCTGAGACCGCAGGTCATTCTGGACGTGGTCCGGGCGATGTCGAACTCAGGGGGCGCGGGGGAGTCCTCCTCGCCCTCTGGCGCGCTGGGGATCTCGCCCTCCTCTAAAGGAAGGAAAACGAACTCCGCGCGGATTTAGTGGATCGGCGATACTCCCCTCCCTGGCGCGCGGAGCGCGCCTTGGACGGCGCTGGAGGCACCGCCAGGGGGGCCCAGTGCCGGTCCGAGGAGTCCGCGCGGAGCTGAGAAAATTTGCTCATGCCGCTTGCTCTGACAGTCAGCATTGATAGTCAGGATGATCGACTTCCCAAGGATGGCCTCGCATCCTTGCGCTTCGGTCATCTTCGGCCCGTTCTGGACCGCTTTCGATGGCCACCCCCGCTCGAAAAGCTTCGGCATGGACGCCCGAGGCCCTCGCGTCCTCATCGCACATCCTCACTATCAGTGCTAACTGCATTGGTTCCGCGGCCTGGTCCTCGTCAGGGCTCCAGTCCCGCGAGATGAGCTCGTAGATCTTCAAGGGCTCGTCATCGCCCTCGACCTGCTCGACGCCGACCTCCTCGTACCGGAAGCCGCTGTCGGGGGGCAGGGCATTCAGCGTGCGCTCCGACACGAGCGTCCGCTTCTGGAGCCTCTTGCACGACGACTCAAGGTCATCATCCTCGTCATCGTCGTCACCACCATCACCAGCACCATCACCATTATCATCATCATCACCATCACCATTATCATCATCATCATCATCATCATCATCATCATCATCATCATCATCATCATCATCATTATCATCAACATCAACATCAACATCAACATCAACATCAACATCATCATCAGCAGCAGCATCACCACCACCACCACCACCGTCATCATCATCACCATCATCATCATCATCATCATCATCATCATCATCATCATCAGCAGCAGCAGCATCAGCATCATCATCCGCATCATCAGCATCAGCATCAGCATCAGCTTCAGCATCATCTTCAGCATCAGCATCATCATCAGCATCAGCATCATCATAGTCGTCATCATCATCATCGCCGTCGTCATCACCATTGTCATCATCTTCATCATCCTCATCATAACCATCATCCTCGTCCTCATCCTCATCATCATCCTCATCATCGTCTTCATCATCATCATCATCATCATCATCATCATCATCATCATCACCAATTCCATCAGCATCAGCATCGTCTTCATCATCACCATCATCAGCAGAATTGTCATCGTCATCTTCAGCATCATCCTCATCATCATCAGCATCATCATCATCGTCATCATCGTCCTGATCATCATCATCATCATCATCATCATCATCATCATCACCATCATCAGCATCACCATCATCATCAGACTCATCATCATCACCATCATCCTCATCATCACCAACAGCATCATCAGTATTAGCATCATCACCCTCCTCATCCTCATCCTCATCAGCATCAGCATCCGAATCGTCTTCATCATAATTATCATCACCGCCACCAAAACCATCAGCATCATCATCATCATCATCATCATCATCATCATTATCACCACCATCATCAGCATCATCATCATCATCAGTTTCATCATCACCATCATCACCATTATCATCAGCATCACCATCATCATCATCATCACCACCATCATCATCATCGTCATCATCACCATCATCATCACCCACATCATCAACCACCCCTCCTCCCGCCCCGCCCTTCCATCCGATAATCCGCCTTCGCCCTCCTCCCTCATTACCCCCCTCGTCGCTCACTCCTCCCCGAGGGGAGGGCAGGAGGAGGATCACCAAGACGAGGAGGAGCACGATGGAGCCTCTTGCACGACGACTCCAGGTGATCTGCAATGTCCACTCCCGCTCCCAGGCAGCCGAACTTCTTCATCATCTCGCTGCCCACGATGCCGCTCGACACCTTCGCCGTGTGGATGCCTATCCTGATCTTTATGCGCGGCAGGTTCACGTGGGAGAACTCATCGTTCAGAAGGTCCATGACCTTGTCCTGCATGAGCACTGCGGCGGCGCACGCAAGCTCGGCATGATTGTCCACGTCGTCGGGCGTGTTCCAGTATATGAGCAGCCCGTCACCCAGGATCTCTGCGATCACACCCTTGTACATATGCACGACGCGCTGCATCACGGAGAGGTACCGCGTGAGCATGAAAAGCAGCTCCACCTGGCCAAGCTGCTCCGACATCTTAGTGAAGTCCTGAATGTCGGAGCAGAGGATCGTAACCTGACGCTCTTCCATCTTAATGTCCCACCCATGAACCAAGATGCGCACCACGGGCTCCGGCACGAACCGCGCAAAAGCCTCTATGCCGCGCGTGAGGCTGCAAAACGCATGCTGCAGGTTGGTCACGTCGGTGATTCCGCAGCCGCTCCTGAGCTTGCTGGGCTGCGTGAAGTCGAGATTGCTAAGGCGCTGCGTGAGGTCGGCGAGCTCGCGCAGACGGCTCGAGACGTGGAAGCCGAGGCAGGTACCCAGGCACGTGCTGAGCAGCAGCACAACCAGTGCCAGGATCACAGTACTGCGACGGGCCTCGGAGACCTTTACGTCGGAGGCCCTCTCGACCTCCTGAACCTGAACGGTCGCGTTCGATGCGACGTCGGAGGGCTTCTGGGCGAATGCGCCTGCGGGCAGCACCAGCACCACCAGCCACGCGGTGTCATCGTCGAGGCGGACAGAGATGGTGCCGACCTGCCAGCACTCGCACCCATGCGTGAGCTGGCTAAACTCCCTGTCGCAGTACGCTCCTGGCTCGAAGATCTCCTCCACGTTGTCGGGTTTGAACGTGAAATTTTGGTGATCCTCCAGGCTTGCGTTGCTCCACGTGGTGAAGCGATGCAGGATCGCCTTGGACGTCGCCACGACGGCGGGACTCGAGAAGTTCTCGGCATGGGAGAGTTCGCGCAAACCAGCGACGCCAGGGACCCCCGGGCATCCGTCTGAGCAGCCGACGAGCAGCCCTTCCTGCTCCGGCGAGCGGGCCATCCTGGAGACGATGAACATGCTGGAGTTCTCGGTCCCGATGGGGAATTCATAGGGGGGCAGCGAGAGCAGGCGCTTGAACTTCCACCAGAGGGTGAACGCGTCGTAACTGACACCGCCCAGCGGCATGTTGGTGGCAATGACGCCCTCCATGCAGGAATCCGCCACCGTGCCGCTGGGCACGAAGTGAGCGTGTCCTCAGGGCCTTTGCCAAATCCTCTAAGGCTCAGTCCTCACTCCTGAAGGAGTCTTTCAGGGACCCATACCCCAAATTGCCAAATCTCTCCGGGCTTTGCGCGGCTTGTCGGGGATCTGGAGAACCTCCCTCCTTTGCCTGATCCTCTCAGCCTCACACCTCATTCTTCCCATGATATCTCCGACCCAAACTCTGGCACAATGGCGAGATTCGGGAAACCAAAAGGTACGGATACCGCTACTCCCTGGACCTCTCCCAGGGTTCGTTCTGGCCAGAATTTCGAAGCGAATCCAGCAGTGGCGACGAGGGCCTCCCAGGAGGCCCAAGAAGGCGAAAGATAGGCAAGGGTAGCGCAACGGCATGGGTACCTCTTCCTCCTCTGAACCCTGGCACGGTGGCGGGATGGGCCGAAGGCCATCGAATAGTCGCCGCAGTACGCGACGGGGAGGGTGTAGGCGATCGCAGAGTCGGAGTTGAATGGAAAGATGTCCGACCACGCGCCCGTCAAGGGCCGCCCTTGCTCCGCGAGACGCGCCTGCACCGTGTACCACACCTGCTTCGTAAAGTTCACCGGCTCCTTGAGGGGGCCCAGGGACACACAAGTAGACAGACACAAGTCCCAGGATTCCCCCTATTGTTCCCTATGTTCTGGAGTTTCGTCTTCCCCATCATCTCAAATTGTTGTTCAGATTTCTGGGGCATCGACGTTTACTAGTGTCTGCGTCTGGTTTCCCCTCCTGGCTCCTCCTGGCTGGTCGAGGCGAACATTTGCCCAGGCTTGCCCGTCTGATCCACTTGCCAAAACATCATCTGGGTCCCTTCGGCAACGTACCCGATAGAGCCGATGACCTCCGAGACATCCGGGTCGCAGATGGGGGTCCCGGAGATCGTAAAATTGGCCTCGGTTCGGTTGCCTAAGGCGCTCTTCAGAAAGCAGTCCCCGGTCACGGTCATCACGGTCCAGTAGTTGCAGCCCTCATGGGACTGGCACCGGTCGCGGCAGTCAAACTTTGCCAGGTTGCCCGGCATCACACTGACGGTCTCGATCGTCGGCCCTGAGAATGCGAAGCCGTCCTCCCAGCAAGTCCAATCACAGTCCGCTTCAAGGCAGTAATCCGTCCTGGTGGTCCAGAAGCTGATGCCGACCGTCTGCCCGGATGCGAAGCCAAGGAGCAAGTTGTCGGTGCGAGCCCTGCGACCGTTGTTGGCAACCTGGGCGCTGAACCCATCTATGGGGGTGCCGAAATTCTCACGCCACTGGGGCTCGAGGCTGGCCCAGGCAAAACGGCTCAGCTCAGCTCGCTCTTCGAAGTCCCTGTCGCCCGTCCAGCCATTTCCAAACCCGTTCCGCGTGGCTATCGAGCCCCCGAGCGCGCCCACGGCAGAGTAGGCTGGCTCCATGGTGAAGCCGATGATGTTGAGTTCGACGGAGTGCAGGAGGCTCACGTATGACGTGCTTGTCACCTCGTTGTAGACCAGGTCTGCCAGGAGCTTGTTGCCCATGGCGACAGCCGAAGAGCAGGACTCTGTGGTCTGGTCCCGCAGGCGGGTAGAGTAAGCCGCCAACCCCCGCTTACTGGGGATGACAGGGCGTTCGGGATGGATGAGGAAGACTTCATTGGAGGAGAGGCCACGGAGGGAGAGGAGCAAGGTAACAGGAATAGGAAAGGGCAAGGAAGGAGAAATCGAACAGACTGGGACCGCCAATTGGCTTCCAGTCCGTATCTCGGGCCTCTGGCGGCCGTTCGGGACAATGCTGGAAAACCCTCGACGAGGCGCAGACGATGAAAACCACCCCGACCGGGCCCCGAAAGCCTCCGAAAGTAACGCTCCAACGGCCAACGAACACCGTTGCGTACGTAGACATGCGTTGTCCTGATTTTGTTCAATACGGGGTCCCTGGAGGTCTCGACCCATTCCCCAGGACCGGTTTTCCATTCTGAGTCGTTTTGTTGACGGTCCCAGGGCCCCGCGAGAGCCCCAGGAGGCCGGAAAGGCTGAAAAACCTCCCCCGAGTTGTTGTTACGAGCGATCCAGTCTGTCGACGGCACCCAGAGAGGGGTAGGGAGGGGGGAGGGCATCTCAAAGCAAGCTGCTTCTGAGAAGGCGCCGACCCTACCTCTCTAGATAGGGCCCGCGCCTTCTAACAAGCAGGGTCGCTCCTGAGAAGCCTCCCCCCCTCCCTCTTACCGCCCTCTGCGCGTGCTGAGGGGTGCAGCCGGCCAGCTTCTCGAGCGGGGCGCGGCCGACCAAAGTGGCCAAGGATGGACCGAGGAGGCAAGGATGTCAGGGCGTCCTTGGGAAGATCACCCATCCTTACTATGCGGGCTGCTGACTGTAGTTTTTGAACTGAGAGGTCTAAGGATTCGGGAGGAGTCCAAGCCCCATTGGGGGGCTGTTACGCCGGATTGGGCAGCGGATTGAGCCGGATGAAGCCGGCCGAAGCCCGATCCAGCCGGGTCAGACAGGATCCGGGCGGATTCAGCCTGGCTTTTCGGACCAGGGCGGATCAGAATTCGACATCCCAGGAGGTGCATCCCCAGACATGCGATGTCGATCCTGATTTTTTCAAGACGGCGTCCCTGGAAGCCCCGACCCTTTCCCAAGGACAGGCCTTCCGTCCTGAACCGTTTGTTGACGGTCCCGAGGCCCGGCGAGGGCCCCCCGGGGCCGCAAACTGCCAAAAACCTCCCGTCCTGATGTGTTTCTTGCGACGCGACCACGTCTGGGTCCGAACCTCGGGGCCCATCCTGACTGTGCGGGTTGACTGTGCGCGGGCCCTGGCAGCCGCCGCCAGCACCCCTCCACTCGCCGGCCTGGCCGCCGAGGTGCCGCGTGAGGCTCCGTCCCACCGCTTTAGGCTAATTCGTCCTTGCGCGGCCCGCTCTGACTCGACTCGCCGCTGGCGCGCTCGCCTGCGGTCGCTGACAAAAAAGTGCGCGGGCCCCAGCTGCCCGCCTCGCCCCGGCCGCTCGGGGCCGGGCAGGCTCCGCAGGGCCGACCGCGCGCGCCGCGCGCCGCGCGCCAGCGGGCCGGAGGGCCCCGCGCCCCCCGAGGCGCACGCCGCGGTCCGCGCGGCGCGCATATCAAATAATGATCACAATCATAATAATAATAATAATCATAATAATAATCATAAATAAAAATAATAATAATAATAATACGAATACTAATAATAATAATAATAATAATAGTAATAATAGTAATCGTAATAATAATAATAATAAGAACAATAATACGAATAGTAATACTACGACTAATATTAATAAAAGTGGTAATAAAAACAAACATAATAATAACAATAATAATAGCACTACTAATAATAATGATAATAATGATAATACTTATTATTATTACACGAATAATACTAACAATATTAATAATGATACGAATAATAATACTTACAATAATAATAATCATACTCAGAAGGATCATAATAATCTCAATAATAATAATAAGTATGATTATCATCATTATTATTATTATTAATAATAATATTATTATTATAATCTCGCTATCGCTCGGACGTCCATTCCCTGTGCTTTTTCGATTTCGTGCGTGTTTTTTTCGCCAAATGATCAAGGATGCTCCTCGATGGCCCTCGCCGAAGGAAAAATCCACACGTCCGAGCGATGCCAAGTAATAAAAATCATAGATCCGTCAAAATATATGTTTTATCTATGTATATATATATGTATTCATAAAAATATTATCTATATACCCAACTACAAAAAAAACAACAACGAAAAAAAAAAAAAAAAAAAAAAAAAAAAAAAAAAAAAAAAAAAAAAAAACGGCGGGAGGGCTTTGGCCGAGATCGGCCTCCGGGGGCCCCAGGTCGGGCCCCGGGACCGTCCGAAAGCGACCCGGGACTTCAAAGGGGGGGGAATCATCGGCCTGGAGTCGACGAGACATCGCCGATAGGTCGGCGATAGGCCCCCGACAGCAATTCCGCACGATGCTGGGCGGGGCGGGGCTATCGGGCCCCCATCGGCGATCAGTGGGCGGCGATTGAAGGTCGATGCATCTCCCCCTGAGACTTGCCGCAGGTCGGCGCAAACTCGGGTCGGCCACCGGTAGCTCCCAAGTCCGGGTCAGCGGAGGGCAGGCAGGGAGCATCGCCCCCACGTGGCTTCCAAACCCTGGCCAGCCAGGGGTGGTTGGCTGACCCCCGTCAGCGCTGACCCCATTACGGCAGGTTCGTGTCGTGACGACCCCAGCGGTGGTTCCTGACACCGCGCTGGATCGTTCAACCTTGAACGATCGGCCGCTGCCGCAACGTCCGATCGCTCAACATCGACCGATTCTGGGCCGCCGTCGGCGTTCAACCTTGAACGTCGGCGGCGGGGTCGCCGCCGGTCGACACGACGCGAACCCACCGTACGTGGGCCCCGCTCCTGGACCACCCCCTTGCGGGGACCAGGCTGACGGTTCACTGCCGGCGCGAGTTCCTCGCTCATCGACTGGCGCCGGCGGTGAACCGTCAACCTGGTCACCGCCGGGGACCTCGTAGAGCTCTTTGCACGCGTGAGAGTGCTCAGATTTAAAGCAGAGATCTTATTGGAGCATTTCTAGAAAAACGTAGAATTTTCATTTTTGGTTGTCAAATTCATGTCGGGGCCGGCGGGAAGGCAGAGGGCCTCCGCCATAGTCGATGGGCACGAAGGTCCCGACCACGGCAAGCACCACGGCCAGGAGGACGCTGCCTGCCGCCCGCGCGCCCGGGCGGGCGCCCAGCGCCGCCCCCCTCTCCTCCCTGGTGCTCAGCTTTGCCATCGACCCCTCCTCCCCTCCTCCTCCTCCTCCTCCTCCTCCCCTCCTCCTCCTCCTCCTCCTCCCCCTCCTCCTCCTTCTTCTCCTCCTCCTCCTCCACCTCCTCCTCCTCCTCCTCCTCCTCCTCCTCCTCCTCCTCCTCCTCCTCCTCCTCCTCCCCTCCTCCTCCTCCTCCTCCTCCTCCTCTCCTCCTCCTCCTCCCTCCTCCTCCTCCTCCTCCTCCTCCTCCTCCTCCTCCTCCTCCTCCTCCTCGTATTCCTCCGCCTCCCGACGTCCCTCATTGTTTCGGGGGCTCCCGTGCGAGAACGGCGCCCATGCACCGCAACGTGTCCAGGCTCCCTGCAGGCCCAGCTCCAACGCGATGCGGTGCATGGTTGCTCGGCTCTGAGGGCCAGAAAACGATGCACCCTAGCACTCCGAGGTCGAGGACTGACGACGCCTCGGGACCCGCCACCGCGGTACGGTGCACACAGGTCGTCCGCGAATCTCGGGCGTTCTTGGGGGGTCTCGTCGACACAGCTGGACGCGACCCTAAGACAATCGACCAGGATGGATCCAAGGCGGAGTCAGGAAACCGATGTTGAGCGGACTTTGATCGACCTTCGAAGATCGAGACATCCTCCTCCTCCTCCTCCTCCTCCTCCTCCTCCTCCTCCTCATCATCATCATCATCATCATCATCATCATCATCCTCCTCCTCCTCCTCCTCCTCCTCCTCCTCCTCCTCCTCCTCCTCCTCCTCCTCCTCCTCATCATCATCATCATCATCATCATCATCATCATCATCATCATCATCATCATCATCATCATCATCATCATCATCATCATCATCATCCTCAGCATCCTCATCCTCATCCTCATCATCATCCTCATCCTCATCCTCATCCGCATCCTCATCCTCCTCCTCCTCCTCATCATCATCATCATCATCACCATCACTATCACCATCAACATCGTCATCATCATCATCATCATCATCATCATCATCATCACTATCATCATCATCATCATCATCATCATCATCATCAGCATCATCATCATCATCATCATCATCATGATCAGCATCATCAGCATCAGCAGCATCATCATCGGCATCATCATCGTCAGCAGCAGCATCAGCATGATCATAATCAGCATCATCAGTATCATCAGCATCACCATCATCAGAATCAGCATCACCATCATCATCACCATCATCATCATCATCATCATCATCATCATCATCAGCTTGATCACCATCATCACCACCATAGTCATCATCATCATCAGCTGCAGCAGCAGTAACAGCAGCATCAGCCTGAGCATCATCATCATCATCACCAGCAGCAGCAGCATCAGCCTGAGCATCACCATCAGCATCACCATCATCGTCGTCAGCAGCATCATCATCTGCATCATCAGCATCATCACCATCCGCGACAGCATCATCATATTGGTCATCATCAGCAGCAGCAGCATCAGCAACATCAGCAGCAGCATCAAAAGCATCATCATCACCAAAATCAACAACCGCGTCATCATCAACAACAGCAGCAACATCATCATCAGCAACATCGTCATGAACATAGTCACCATCATAATCAACATCATCAGCATCATCATCACCAGCATCATAATAATCGTCTTCATCGTCGTCGTCATCATTCACATAATCGTGCGCATCCTCACCCGCATCCTCATCATCCTCATCCTCATCCTCATCCTCATCCTCACCCCCTCCTGCCTGTCACGACAAACCAGAAGGGCACGAGCAGGTGCTTGTGGGGCCTCTTCTCGAGTCGCCCCTCCCTGGTCGAGACTGAGGACAATTTCAGGTACCTTCTGGGCACATCGCGAGGCGAGGGAGGAGGGGGGGAAAACGAGGACGAGGGCGGGGAGGACAAAAGAGGACCGGGAGGAGGAGGAGGAGGAGGATACGGAGGATATACGGAGGAGGAGGAGGAGCGCCCTCAGGTATTCGGAGGATGGGGAGGAGGAAGAGGAGGGGAGGAGAAGGACGAGGAGGAGAAAGGAGAAGGAGAGAGGAGGGGAGGAGGGGAGAGGGAGAGGAAGAGGTGGAGCTGGAGGAGAGGAGGAGAGGAGGACCAGGAAGAGGAGGAGGAGGAAGAAGAGAAACAGGAAGAGGAATAGAAGGACGACGGCGACGAGGGAGGGCTTGTTCGTTGGGGGATCGGCTCGCCGCAGCGGCTGGACTCACCTCAGGATGCTGGCAAGAAGGCGCTCCAGACGAGGAACGGTGGCCGAGTTTCGGGGAGAGAAGGAGGGGGGGAAGCAGCGGCAGGAAGAGAGAGAGGGAGATGCAGAGGAAGACGCGGAGGAAGAAGATGGAGGAGGTGGAGCAGCAGGACGAGGAAGAGGAATGCGCAGGGGAGGACGAGGAGGACGAGAAAAACGAGGAAAAGGGGACGGAAGACGCAGGTATAAGGACGAGAAGGAGGAAGAGGAGGAGGAGGTAGAGAGGCCCGCGCCAGTGGTCGGACTGGGCCACGAATACGCGAAAGCGATTGTTCTAAAAGCTACGACGTGTACCTCATATCGACTGAGGGGCCAGTCCTGTTGTTCTCACTCCAGGCGAGACAAGGTGGCTCCAGTAAGGGCGACGGGATGGAAATGAGCCGCACGAGGTACAATAATGCGCAACTGCTGACATGCTGTCAGAAAGAGGCGGAAGCTGAGCTAGAACCGTGCGGCAGGGAGCGTGAGTTGCATAGATGCAGGCTGGAGGAGGAGAAGGAGAAGGAGCAGGGGGAGGAGGAGGAGGAGGAGGAGGAGGAGGAGGAGGAGGAGGAGGAGGAGGAGGAGGAAAAAGGAGGAGAGGAGGAGGAGGAGGAGGAGGAGGAGGAGGAGGAGGAGGAGAAGGAGGAGGAGGAGGGAGGAGGAGGAGGAGCCCCTGGAAACCCGACGCGCGGTGGCGCACCATGCCTAAAAAAACGGTGCCAGCGGGCCGTGCAGGCCAGGGACGCGCATTCGTCGGCGCCACGGGGGCCGAGGGTCGTGGCGCGAGGACGGCGGCGAGGGCACCCGCGCCGCGACACGGCCGCATCGAAGAGTGCAGCACGAAGAGGACGCGAGCACTGAAGAATGGAAGGCGAGAATAGGAGGAGCGCAACGAAGCCCAGCACGACGAGGACGCGAGCACGAAGAGGACGCGAGCTGCATCGAAGAGTGCAGCACGAAGAGGACGCGAGGACGCGAGGCAGGCGAGAGCACGAAGAATGGAACACTCGGCGCGGATTGAAAAAAAAACTGGTCAGCGATCCAGTTGGGGAACGAGCTGCAGGCAAGTCTGGCCTCGGTTGAGCTGGAGGGTCCTTCGGAGACCGCAGGCGCAGAGCCTGCTCGGGTGTTCGTGCGCACGCCCACAGCACCACCTCGCAGCGGTGCGAAAGGCGAGAACGAAAGCTTCGAGGAACGTTGATGATAATGAGAAGGAGGGATGGAGGTAAGGACGGAGAAGGGAGTAGAAGAAGAATAAGAAAAACAAAACAAAAAACTGCATAAATACACACTTTTGGCGCTCCGCGCGGATTTACTGGATCTGCGCTAGACCCCCCCGCCAGGGGCGGCGCCAGAGGCGCCGCCGGGGACGCCCAGCGCGGATCGAAGAAATCCGCGCGGAGCGCCGATGATAATAAGGAGGAGGAGGAGGAGGAGGAGGAGGAGGAGGAGGAATGGGAGTCAGGACGGAGGAGGGAGCAGAAGAAGAAACAACGGCATAAGCATAAACTGTTGGCGCTCCGCGCGGACTTCTTGGATCTACGCTGGACCCCCCACCAGGGGAGCCCCGCGCGGATCCAAGAAGTCCGCGCAGATGCGCCGAAAAAGTTCATGCTTGTGGCGTTTCTTCTTCTTCGGCCTCGGCGGGGGGAGGGGGCTTAGGGGGGATGGTCAGGGCAATGGCATCTGGCCCGCTCCAGACCCTGGATCCAAGAGCTCCCATCTCTCTGGGATGCACATCTTGCGTCCGCCGGCGGAGCCAGCCTCGTTTGGCCTGCGACAGCTTCCGCCGGCCGACCGCCGAAGAAGCGAAGTTTCCTTCCTCGATCCCCGTGAGGCAAGCCCCTGCTGAGCGCCCTGCCTCACTGCCGGCCCTCTCTCGAGAAGACTCCGATCGGGGGTCGGCACTGCTGGCGCTGGTCCGCCGCGTCGTGCTTCGGCCGATCCAGCTGCGCCACCAGCACCGCCTCCCTCGCCACGACGGCGGGGAGGGGCAGGAGGCAGGGGCGGGCTGGGCTCTTGCCGGCCTGCGACTTGGTGCCTCAGGAGCACGCGCGCGCCCGATCCTGCCCGCGGCGAGCAGGGGGCCATGGCAGGAGGCCGACGATGCACCCGTGCCGATCCTGGCCAGGCCGATCCTGGGACGTGTCAAGGGCGTACACTCCGGGCGCAGGATCGGCATGGCCAGGATCGGCATGGGCGTACAGCTGGCATGCATGGGGGCCGACAGCACAATCGTGCCGATCCTGGCCGGGCCGATCCTGGGGCTAGGATCGGGGCAGGAGGCCAGAGGCGCACGCGCCGAGCACATGCCCAGGATCCGACCGCGGGAGGAGGCGGGGCGGCCTTCTCGGAGGGCGCCTCGGGCGACCATGAGCCGCCCGAGAGGCCCCAGAAGAGCATCCAGAAGCCTCTTCGATCCTCGATCCTTCCTCATCCTCCTCCTCCTCCTCCTCCTCCTCCTCCTCCGCCGCCTCCTCCTCCTCCTCCGCCGCCTCCTCCTCCTCTTCTTCTCCCTAGCTGCCGTTGTGGCTATAACAACAGGGCAGCGCATGCATCTTGTCCTCCAGGTTCACCTTGTACCGAACCTCAGGCCAGCTGGTTCAGCAGAAAGATGGCGCAGGCGCAATGAGCCGCTTGGTAGTGTTCTTTCTCTCGC